AGATTAATGCTTCATGTAAGAAGAATGATAGTGTACTAGAGGTTAGTATGCTATCAAAGGAAACTATTGATACAGATAGGATACCAACATGGGTACAGATAAATTTTAATGATTTGACCTTAGAGGCCGACTTTTATGTTATAGAGATGAAAGACTTTTATGTTATTTTAGGCATGGATTGGTTGGGTAAAAATTGAGCCACGATAGTATGTTTTGAGAAAGAGGTAATCTTTCAAAGATCGGAAGGAGGAATTCAGATTTTATGGATCAAAGGTTAAGGCACTTCTTTGCGTCATATCAATTTTGAAGGCAAAAAGAATGTTGAGGAAGCCTGACTGCCAGGGGTATCTTATCAGTCTTATTAGCACCTCATCTCAAGAGAAAATATTGGATGATGTGCCAATAATACGGGAGTATACCGACGTGTTTTCAAACGATCTACCGGGTATTCCGCCCAATAGATAAGTGGAATTCATGATAGATCTGGTATATGAAGCTACTCTCGTGTCCAAAACTCCATATCGAATGGCACCAAAGGAGTTACAAGAGTTGACGATGCAGCTAGAAGAACTTCTAGAGAAAGGGTTTATTAGACCAAGTGTATCTTCATAGGGAGCTCCAATACTCTTTGTAATGAAGAAAGATGGTACTATGAGGCTGTGCATCGACTATCGTGAATTGAATAAGTTGACAATCAAGAATAAGTATCCTCTTCGTAGGATTGAAGACCTATTTGATCAGTTGAAGGGCACATCCCTATTCTCGAAAATTGATTTGAGGTCGGGCTACCATCAATTGAAGACTAAGTTGGTCAATATACCAAAGACGACATTTAGGACTAGGTATGGACATTATGCGTTTATGGTGATGCCCTTTAGTTTGACAAATGCCCTACGATGTTTATGGACTTGATGAATAGAGTACTTCATCAGTATTTGGACATGTTTGTCATCGTATTTATTGACGACATGCTGATATACTCAAAAGATTCTCAGCAACATGAAGAACATTTGAGGATAATTTTGGAGACCCTGCGTGAGGAGAAGTTGTATGCCAAATTCAAGAAATGTGAATTTTGGCAGGACCAAGTGGGAGTTCTAGGCCATACTGTTTCAGCATGAGGAATTGAAGTGGATCAATCCACAGTTGAGGCCATGACCAATTGGTCAAAACCTACAAACATTGGAGAAGTGCGGAGCTTTTTAGGGTTAGCTGGATATTATTAATGATTTATATAAGGATTCTCCAAGATTGTAGTTCCTATGACACAGTTGACTCGGAAGGGTACTAAGATCATATGGTCGGAGAAATGCGAACAGAGTTTTTAAGAGTTAAAGGACAGGCTCGTATCTGCGCTGGTTTTAACTGTTCCCGATGGTTCAGAAGGTTTTATGATTTGCAATGATGTATCCAAGCTTGGTTTAGGATGTGTTTTGATGTAACATGGAAAAGTGATAGCTTATGCTTCGAGACAGTTGAAGCAATATGAACAGAATTACCCCAAGCATGATCTCGAACTAGTAGCGATAGTGCATGCCTTGAAGATTTGGCGCCACTGCCTATATGGGAGCAAGTGTGAGATTTACACCGATCATAAGAGTTTCAAATACTTCTTCACCTGGACGTGGTTGAATATGAGACAGCGACGATTGTTAGAATTAGTAAAAGATTACGATTGCACTATCTTTTACCATCCAGGTAAGGCTAATGTAGTTGTTGATGCGCTGAGTAGAAAGAACATGGGACAGTTGTCAACATTGTGTACAAGACAGGATCATTTAATAAAAGATTTTGAAAACCTAAGAATTGAAGTATTAACGTCACCTGTGAGGATATCGGTGAAGTTAGCAAGTTTTACTACGAAACCGACGCTCAGGAACAGAATAGTAGCTACTCAGAAAGATGTTTCCTTTTTGGAAAAGATCAGGGCTGATGTGGGAATTGAGAAGATGAAAGGATTTGAAAGCCGAAGACAAAGCCTTGATGTTTAAGGATCAGTTGTACGTGCCAAAGGATGAAGTGTTGAGAAATGAAATTATGACCGAGGCTCACTCAACTCCTTACTCCGCCCACCTAGGCGAAACTAAAATGTATCAAGATTTACGTAACACATTTTGGTGGAGAAATATGAAAGGGAAGATAGCTTTATTCGTTTCCAAATGCATGGTTTATCAACAGGTGAAGGCTGAACATCAAAGATCGTCGGGACCGTTGAACCCATGGACATACCTAAATGGAAGTGGGAAAAGATTGC